TTGTAGCTGTACAGCTTAGCCCTCAGACCGACAAACTCTTCAATTATCTTTCCTTTTTCTTCATCTTTGAACATTCCAATGACCTTCTTGTTCACACCGGTCGGTATCCCAGAGGGATGCCCTTCTTTAATCTCACTTGTGTCAAACAAACGGTCTACATCACCACTTATATCTTTGAAAAAATCTTCGGTCTGAATCTCATAACAAAGACTGTCTGTATCAGTGAAAAGAAGCTTTGATTTACCCTCTGGGTACTTAGGTTTGATGTAGTTGTAGTGAAAGTCATACATCAATGTCTTACTAATATCGAGGATGCTCATCCCGAGATAGAGAGGCTTATTGAAAAGAATCTGCGTCTTCCCCATATGCATCGCGCTCAGATTCTCTGAGAAGATGGTGCAATGTTTGAAGTTGACCTTATTTGCCAACTTCTTTGCCTTCTCATCTGAGGTGACAAGTCTCACGTCAACACGTTTTCGAATATTTTCCATGGTTTTACCAAAGACAGCGTTGTTCATCAGCTTGTAGAAGTCCTTCTCAAAGTCATTTTTTGCTTTGGCTCTCAATTTTGAGTTGAGAGCAATATACTTCTTCATCCAACGCCTCTCTTTGAACCTGATGACGCGGTGAATCTTTCCGATCTCGATTCCAAGACTCATGTAATGTTTTAGTGTCTCGTGATGAACGATGTACTTCTTCTTTTCATTCAACGTACAGGTCAGCTTATGCACTTTCCCAATCAACAGATTTTCAGGAGCGGGTGCATACTCGTTGAAGTGATCGTGAAGCTCTTTTTTGACAGCTTTTAGGTCGACTTCGAGAATGCAAGGGAAAGTCTTCCATTTTTCAAAGTCTTTCTCATCTACCCATTTAAAACCCCCCGTCGGCAGACGCTTACTCATCGCCCAACCGTAAAGGTTGTTTGCATCGAGATACATGATGAACGTTATAAGTTGGGTAGGGTCAAACTTTTCTTTCATGTATTTGTTGTTGGCTTTTGCATGCCTTGTCGAAATCATTGAAATCCCACCGCGAATACCAGCCTCAAACATGTGCAACATATTTATATCGCTCAACAACTCGAGTTTTATTTTAGTCAACTTGAGACAAGCATCCCAAGCCAAACCCGGTGCGGTGAAGTACCAACAAGGATCGAGATCATAGTTCTTTTTGCAAAGTTTTCGAAAGTTTTCAAACACATCGGCTGGTAAAAGCACGTCGCTTCGATTGTAGAGATTGTGGTAATCTCTGAAAGTCTTACATCCAAAGACTTTCCATACATTCTGAGCGTGGGTATAGTCTTCATCTGAGATACCTTTACCACTTAACACGGAGAAAAAAGCTTCTTTCGGTGGAAGTTGTGGCTCATCAAGCTTGTGTATAGAGTCCATCCATTCATAAGGATAAACACCCTTTCTCATCAGCAGGTTAAGCTTCTCTCCGGTATAATATTTTCTTGTATTTATAAAGAAAGGCTTGCCCTTTGCAGCAAGGTTTCCGACAAGCGTGTCAAGACTGAGAGGCATGAATTTAAAGCTGTCAATAAACCTCAACTCTCTCTTTTCCTCGACGAGTTTTTCTTTCTTTTTATCAAAAAACTTGTCAACCACAACGTGCTTTGTGAAGCTGATGTATTTCTCTTCGTTGTTTGGTATGCAATCAATGTCACCCTCTGAAACACCAAGATTTCTAACGAAGAGATGGGCGTCATAGTTTGCCAAGTTGTGAAACACCACACNAACAGCATCACTCTTTGTAAAGATCATCTTTTTAGGAGGGTGGTCTTCGTAAATAGACTGAACCTCCGCTTCAAGCGATTCAACGAATATTTGCGCCACATCTTCATCTTCAGACTTTGCTGTGTATTCAACCAGTTTTGAATAACTATTGTCAAATGTGCACTTGAGATAATAACAAAAGCTTAGCGGAATATGTTGAGACTTTTTCTCTGTGTAACACTCTTCAGGATTAGGTTGAGCCGAGTGCAATAGTTTAATGATTGATTCAAAATCAGCATAGATGACAAACGGCATGTCCATCTTCTTGTGATGGTTTTTGAAAGAGAGGGTAGTCCCATCTTTTGGCATCTTTTCTCTCACAGCCTCATGAAATCGGCACAGCGCGTCATGTGTGTCAAGAAGTCGCTGAGAGCCGAAATAATTAAGACACCTCCTACATATATACTTCTTCGCCTTTTTCTTTGACAAATCACTCGATACGAGCCGACTCAAATTCTTTATGAGGCAATAATGCTTTCTGTCACCATCTTGAATGAGAAGAAGATCAATAAGACCTTGAGCCTGACCTTTGCTCACTCTCAAGGGATTGAGTCCATTTTCATACATGTATACGTTGACACCGATCTCTGGATTTAACTTTTCAAAGCGGTCAATGCTCTTCACTTCCATTGGAAACTTAATGTCACCCCACACGAGTTTTTCTGCCTGTTTTTTCAAAATCTTTGTGATGCGAGTAGGATTACTTTGAACAGGATTCAAGGCTCTCGTGACACACCACTTAAAACATTCATCATCTTCATTCTCCATATTTATGATAGCTTTTTTATCTGCGAGATGCTTTGGTAGCTTAATGTAAGAAGAACCTTTCAGAGGGGTGTATTTCACCGTATGCAGATCTAAACCCTCAACACGATAAAATTTCCACCCGCTCCCATTTTTTTCAAACTTTTCTAAACTCTTTATCATTTCCTCTACACACTCTTCATAAAGTTCTTCTCGATCAGTCTCCTGAAACACAATCTTTTGAGGAGTTGAAAGATATGCGGTCATGTGCTCAATCTCATCATTTCTTTATCTCATCATGTCGCACCTAAAAATGAACTTTATCTTGATATTTTTTTGTGTATTCAAAAGGTTCATAACTGTGGGCTACACAACCTCAAGATAATCTCTCGGTCCAAAAAGTGCTGGAGTCCCATCGATCGTGTACATCTTTGCAAACTGTTTCAGAGAAGAAGCTGTTTCAACAGCTTTGAAACCAGCCCTCTTTACAGCCTTTTTTTTAGCACTTCTTGACTGTATAGACTCAATGAGCCGCTTCGCACGGGCCTTCCCATGAAGGATCCGTTTTTTTGCTCTTCTTGACTGTATAAACTCGTGTAGTCGCTTCTCGTAGTCGCTTTTGCTAAGACCTTTGTTTATCTCACGGAATTCTGTAATAGTACTAGCACTGCTAGCAGTACTCCTACGAGCCTCCTTTACCTTCTTTCGTGTAATTATGGGCAGGGGAGGGCTTTTTGGTTTCGACTGAACATGCTTGATGCGCTTGATAAGCTCATCTTTTCGAAGGTTTGCATAGCCATGAAGGCCACTCTCTTTTGCGATTTTGCGGAGTTGCACAACAGTGTTATTTTCCATTATGCAGTTATGTATTCTGTAAAGATAGTTTGGTCTCAAAAAAAACTCTTTCTATTTTTTCCACAATATTTCTTTAAGATGTTTTTCTTCACTCGATTCAAGTGAAGAAAACTCATAAGAGTTCACGCTATGTGCCGCGCTCTAAATAGCTAAGTATCATATCTCTATCGCTGCATTTACCAAATCTTGCTTCTTAAACATTCTTTTTATCTCTTCTTCCCACTCTTCAGCTGTTGTTATTTTCTTATCTTCCTTAATGAGCTCGATAAGCTCAGCTTTTCGAAGTTTTGAATAGCCGCGAAGGCCAAGATATTTTGCATATAGGTGAAGTTGGTCAGCAGTGATTTTTTGTTTATACCCCACCTCTTTTTTACACTCTTCATCTGTTATCCCTGCGCTCACGATGAGCTCGATAAGCTCATCTTTTCGAAGGTTTGAATAGCCGCGAAGGTGTCTATTCTTTGCAATTCGACGAAGTTGTACAATAGTGAGGTCCTTCGTGTACTTTATGTACTCAAGAATGTTTTCTATTTTATTTTCCAATATTTCTTTAAGATGTTTTTTTTCCTCACTCGATTCAAGTGAGGAAAAAACCCACAACTTTACGTTGTTCACATTACTCTAAACAATCTGCTATATTTCTTTCATACTGCGCTTGCCGCCATGCTTCTTCTTCTTCTTCATACTCCTGTGCCCATACCACGTTATATGCCCGTTCTACCAAATCTCTATCTTTTTTAATGAGATTGATAAGCTCATCTTTTTGAAGAAGTTCCAAATAGCCACGAAGACTATTCTCTCTTGCTAATTTACGGAGTTGTTTGACAGTGAGTTTGTTCAACAGAGGTATGTCAACAAAGTGTGTTCCCATGTTATTGTGATTGTCTTCTTAAAGTTTTCTATTTTATTTTCCAATATTTCTTTGAGATGTTTTTTCTTCACTCGATTCAAGTGAAGAAAACTCGTCATCTGTCAACTCAATCTTTTGATGGGGTGGTGACCTTTTGACGGGGTGGTGGTATTTTGACGTTGACGCTTTTCAACGTATAACTCTCAAATCTCAGATTGTATCGTATTCCATCGATAACTATTGTGCTTTTTGTCTCTTCGTTCTCTGAGGTGACCTTCGAACCAAACCTTCCAGGATTTATGTTGAAGTGTTGTGAAGCTTTATATATCGAAGGGAAAACAAGCTCTTCTACAGAGTCTAACGGAT